CTAGGTACTTCCATGTACATCCCCAGGACAGCACGTCCACATTCACTCTGCACTGATTTACTGAGGGCCTACTACGTGCCAGGTCCTGCTATAGCACCTGGGGATACAGCTACGGATGAAACACTAGCCCCGTTCTAGAGGAGGAAATAGACAAGAAATAAACAAATATGTAATATAGTTGCCCACCATAATATTATAAACTGACATATGGCAATATAAATACATGATGAAATTATCACAGTTCATTGTAATTTCCTCTTGACTTGTGTGCATCTCCCCTATGGATTATACGTACAGTGTGTGGCTCTGAGCCTCATAACAAAAGCCTGATGAATTAAAGTATAGCCCTCAACCTTTTGGCTCTCTCCACTGTCCTGAGAATCTGTCTTGTTTTGATCGCATATAGGAGATAATTTAACTTTTAATCTGCAAAGGGTCTGTTCCACATATTTAGAGTTATTAGCACTAACACCATGCTTACTTGATTCTCGACAACGACTTATTTCTAAATCACGAGGTCCTTCATGTAGGTGGCGGCAACCCTACTTAGAGGGACCTTTTATCTTTCAGGAGCCCTCCTGCCTATGGGTTCCCTAGTCCTTCAGGGGATGCTTGAATAGTAGTTCCTCCAGTGATTCTGCACTAGAGAAAAGTATTACAAGCACAGGAGAGGGAGGGAAAACCAATAAATTCAGGAGTAGCATCAGCCCATAGACCCGTGAATCTAGCATCAAGCAATTTTGCAAAAAGTTCATTGGTTACCACCTCACAACACATTAGGATGACCACTATCAAAACAAACAAACAAAAATCAGAAAATACCAAGTGTGGGTGAGGCTGTGGAGAACCCGAAACCTTTGTGCACTCTCAGTGGGGATGTGAAATGGTGCAGCCACTGTGGAAAACAGTATGATGTTTCCTCAAGAAATTAAACATAGAATTACCATTTAATCCAGTCAAAAGATTTTAAAGCAGAGACTTAAAGAACTATTATACACCCTTGTTCAAAGCATTTTTATATGTAAACCAAAATGTGGAAGCAACCCGTGTCCATGAACAGATGAATGGATAAACAAAACAGGATATATACACACAATGGAATATTATTCAGCCCTTAGAAGGAAGGAAATTCTGACACATGCTACAACAGAGATGAATCTGAAGGACATGAAGGTAAGTGAAATAAGCAAGACACAAAAAGACAAACACTCTATGATTCATTTCTATGAGGGGCCTAGAGTAGTCAAATTCATAGAGACAAAAAGTAGAAGGGAGGGTTCCAGGGGCTTGAAGGAGGGAGAACAGGGAGTGTTAATGGGGACAGAGTTTCAGTTTTGCAGGATGAAAGAGCTCTGTGGACAGATGGAGGTGATGGTTGCACAACAGTATGAATGTAATTAATGCCACTGAACTGTACATTTCAAAATGATTAAGATGGTGAATTTTATGGTATGTGTACAATTCTACCACAATTAAAAAAAAAAAAAGAACTTGAACTGGTAGGTTGTCCAGCTCTGTGTCAGAATCAGACAAACCTGACTCTAGCACATACCAGCTCTAAGAGCCAGGTGAGTGACACAACTTCCTTGAGCCTCAGTTTCTTCACCCATAAAATGAAAATGGTGATGACAATATCTAATTTATAAAAGCTTTGCGAAGATTAAATGAGATAGTAATGTTTGTCAAATACAAAATTCTGAGTTTCATATCTGGTACATATAAGTACTAATGCATCAATAAAACCATGCTCTATTGCTTTTGTTGGCTCTGATCATTATCATTAATCCTCATTATTACTAGCTTAACTCAAAAATTAACATCAACCTGTAGAAGTATGTCCCGCCAAAGTGAGTACCTTACAAATCTGCTAATTTAATCCCAGAGCAGAAATCTATGATTCTAGGCTGGGGTAAACTATTCCTTAATTTTTGAAGTCTTTGATTCTCACTTTGCCCCAAGGATATTTTTAGACGACAGAGCAATGTGAATTTGTGTATAAATGCTTGATGTGTTAAGATAATGAAGATATTTCCCTTACTGCAAGAAAAAACCTTCTGATTCACCTTTCTGCCTCAATGTTTTTCTGAGTTTCTCATGATTTCTTCTGTAACAAGCAGAATAGGTGTGAAAAGGCAAAATGAGATGCATTGCTGTTTGAAAATGAAACATTTGAAATTTTAATATGGACAGAAACAGAAAGAAGAAGTTAAATGTTATGTATGTCACCATAGACTACTTTCTCTACTTTCAATGACAAATTTGATTTGGAGCAACAAAATTATATAAATATAGCGGCACATGATACATCTGTGTTCTCTGGGATTTTTCATCATATAACAATTTCTTCATTTTAAACAACTTAGGAAAATTACTTCAAAAAAAGAAAAGGTTGAACCCTATAAAAAGAAAATCACCTGAGATGAAATATACCCTTATTAACAGTCACATGCAATATTCTCAGGGGCAAACAACATAATCAGTAAGTCTAAAACATGAAATGCATTAAAAACAGGATGAACTAATTCTCATTCCTATTTTAAAGGAAGGCAAATGTGCTATCATTAAATCCTGCATTATGAGGGGATTTGAGGACTTTACTCCTGGATGCCAGTTACAGAGTTGCACTGTAAGCCCACACTCAAAAAATCCTGGACCCAGTCCACAGAGAATTTTAGATAACACATCAAGTTCATTATACAGAAGAATCGTGTGTTTCCCACAGAAGAAAGGGGGTATATTACAACGGAATGAGGGACCTTTATAGAAATGACAAAAGACAAATGCGCTATTCAAGGGAACCTCCAGTACCTGTTCTGAACAAGTGAAACTGAGGTTTAGTGTTGAAAGGGATCTTTGAGATGATAAGAAGGACCAAGAGAAATGGCAACAGCAAAAGAAATTGCAGTTCCAGTAGCTGACCCATGTACATTCAAAGCAGACTCGATAAGAGAATTTCTGTCCTTGGAAGGTGGGCCCGGGAGGAGATCTGACAAAGAAGCTTGCCCAAGCACCACTTGGCATTCTGAGCCACCATAGCACAAGACGGTGGCGGAAGTGAACATGACAAAGTGGAGGGTGGTGATAAGAGTCTTCCCTGGAACTTTACGTTTTAAAAGTTTACAAGAAAATCACAGGAGGTTGAAAACAAAGGCTGGAGATGCTGAACAGGTGACTCTTGAAATCAGAGATAAATGTTTAAGAGACAGAAGAAAAAAAAACCCAAATCAAACAAAACAACTTAATTTAGTCTTAATCACTAACTGGGAGGAGTTTCACAGCTGAGGCTTTGAAGGTTTGAGAAGGTCTTCCTATGCCCAGGGTTTAAATATACATACGTTCAATCAGCAGAAGAAAGGGACTAACAAGATCAATCTGTGGCAGACACCTGCCTCAAACAATGGCACTGATCTCACAGGGATTTTAAACAGCTGTGCATAAACTTCAAAAGTAATTTGCAACCAAATTAGTAAACGTCACCCTCTTTCCCACTAGACACAGCATTTTTTAAAGAGATTAAGCATCCGCAATAAGCCTGCCATTTTACAAGTTACCCAAGACAAGTTAGGAAACAAATGAAGATGGTGATTCTCAAGGTTGGGGTGTGGGGTGGACCCAAGAGCTGAGGAGCAGGGCTCCTGTGCCAAACAGCCCTGCCAGGGAAGGGGCCGTGGTGGTGACGGCTTCTACAGAGATGCAAGGGGAGCATGGAGAGAACCAGGGCAGCTGCGGCCAGACTCGTGCTGGGGTGGGCACCTGGCGCTGGCAGGACCACACCCTCCCGGGGCGCTGCACCCTCACCATGGACGGCCGGGGGAGAGCAGCGAGTTCTCGATTCTCCCTCCACGTTACCACCCCGGCCTCGTCAGCTTGTGCCATGACTGCACCACCTTTTCTTAGCGCCACTTTGAGCAGGACAACCCCAAAGGTCAACGCAGCTCCATGGCACGCTCCTGGCAGAAAGAATCAGTCTCCAGTGGGGCCAGCCTTTGGGCTTCTCTTCATTCATGACTACAGGGAGTGCCCCAGCCTTTGGCGTCAACAGTCCCTTTCACACTGATTACTGGGGCTCTTAAAAATTCGATGAAATACAGATATTTAACTCTACTTTCTTAACATGTGGCCCTGAATGCTGATACACAAACAGGCTCACTTGAGGTTACAGGACTGAGCACCAGACTTTTTTTTTTTTTTTTTTCTGTATCTATCACAGAGCCGCCTCACCCTACCCCAGGCCCTTGAAAAGAAACTTGAGTTTGTCTAGAAGTGAGTCTTGGCAGCCTTGTCTGCTGCTCTTGCAAACCCCAAGAAAACAAGTTATTCTCTCCTGTGGACAGGTCACCATCTGCATCAACCACCTCTCCTTCAAATGTTTGCCAAGGATATAACTTTCCACCTTCTTCCCTCCCTCCCACCCCAATCAGTTCAGGTAAGAGGGGGAAAAAGCGAGAAGGAAGAGAAGGCGCCCCCAGCCCCAGCCCCAGCCCCGGTGGCGTCCACACGGCCAGGGGCCGTAGCATCTCGCGCCACCCGCACGCAAGAAACCACGGGAAGCGAGTGGCCAAAGTTCGCTGCACTCTAGTCGCTCTGCGGCTTGGCAGTCAGCCCGCGCCCCCCGCCCCGGAACGTCTCAAAGCGGTAGCCGGACGGGCCTCCCCCCGCCTCGCCGGGCTGCGCTCCCGGC